TACCCCGAAGTCAGACGTGACATTTATTATTAAAAAAATTTAATTTTTAATAATAAAATGCTACCCGAAAGTCAGACACAGCATTTATTAATAAAAAAATAAATTTTTATTAATTATTTATATAAAAATGCTACCCCAAAAGACGGACGCAGCATTTATTAATAAAAAACTTAATTTTTATTAATTATTTATATAAAAATACCGTCCAGAAAGATGGATGCAGCATTTATTAATAAAAAATTTAATTTTTATTAATTGTTTATATTAAAATGCTGACCTGAAAGTCAAATGTAACATTTATTAATAAAAAAATTAATTTTTATTAATATTTTATGTAAAAATGCCGCCCGAAAGACAGATGCAGCATTTATTAATAAAAAATTATATTTTTATTAATTTTTTATATTAAAATGCCGCCCTGAAAGTCGGATGCAGCATTTATTAATAAAAAAATTAATAAAAATTAATTTTTATGTAAAAATGCCGCCCGAAAGACGGATGCGGCATTTATTAATAAAAAATTTAATTTTTATTAATTTTTTATATTAAAATGCCACCCCAAAAGTCGAACACAGCATTTATTAATAAAAAAATTAATTTTTATTAATTTTATATATAAAAATGTAGCCCCGAAAGTCAGACACAGCATTTATTATTAAAAAAATTAATTTTTATTAATTTTTTATATAAAAATGCCACCCGAAAGTCAGACGCGACATTTATTAATAAAAAAATTATTTTTATTAATTTTTTATATAAAATGCCGCCCTGAAAGACGGATGCGACATTTACTAATAAAAATTTTAATTTTTATTAATTTTTTATATTAAAATGCTGCCCCGAAAGTCAGATGCGGTATTTATTAATAAAAAATTTAATTTTTATTAATTTTTTATATTAAAATGCCTCCCGAAAGTCAGATGCGACATTTATTAATAAAAAATTTAATTTTTATTAATTTTTATATTAATATGTAGCCCTGAAAGACAGATGCGGCATTTATTAATAAAAAATTTAATTTTTATTAATTTTTTGTATTAAAATGCCGTCCTGAAAGTCAGACGCGACATTTATTATTAAAAAAAATTAAATTTTATTAATAAAATGCTGATCCGAACGTCAAAGGCAGATTTTTGTTAAAAAAACAACAAAATTGTTGTTTTTTTAGCATTAAAACGCTGTTCCAAATGTTAGAAGCGGATTTTTATTAAAAAAACAACAAAATTGTTTTTTTTAACATTAAAACGCCATTCTGAACATTGGAGGTAGATTTTTGTTAAAAAAATTTTTTAATCTGTCAGATACGGATACGGATTATGATTTGTTGAATTTAAATACAGATTCAGATTCAGATTTGTCAAATTCAGATCGAATTGGATTCAGATTTTTCAGATTTGGATCGAATCAGATTTTGCCCAAATCTAATCTGATCTAATCTGTGCAAAATACTACCTACGACTATTGTTTAATCCAAGTTATACAGTGTCTACCATTGATAATACCTTCACAGGTACTATTTGCAAATGATATGATACTTATCTATTATAGACCAACCTTTGATATAGATTTTAAACTTAATCGTTTCACTATTCATCACTTTACTTACCATCATTTCCTATTATCAGGATGGTATGTAGACAAAGTAATATTACATAGCTTTTGCTATAGAAGCTATCATCCTTCATATAAATAACTATTAATTGATCATTTTATTTTACAATTTTACCATATTCAACATACATAAACCATCACCAGCAATAGTGTTTTGAATTGGGTAAAGCCCCACAAAGTGTCACTATGCCTGTAAAAGATGTTAATGATTTTGAAGAGTTTAGGAATTATGGGCGTCAAATCAATGCCTTATGTATTATCCTTACAGATTTCGAGTCATTAAAAAAGAAGTGTGACACACATTATGGTAGAAACATGTAAAAGATAGCAGAGGAAGAAGCTAATAGTTTTAGCTATAAAGTCCACTAGATTGATATTGGAGAAACATGGGGCCCCTTCTTATATCGTGGAGAAAATGCTACAGAAGAATTCATTTGAAGGATCAATCAAGAATTGGTAAAAATAAATAAGGTCTTAGCTGTTAAGCATAATGTATTATTACAGATAACTACCAAAGAAGGTTTAAAGAAGCAAATAAGTGCTGGATCTATGAAGACAAGTTTAGTATAGATATAGATATGATTAATAGATTAGAAAAAAAGATTGCAAATCTCACTGACAAAACTAACATAAATTGTTCAAGATTTTAAATCGCATAATAAGATAAATTCACCTAGAGATATATTAAAGAGAATCTGGAAAATGGAAAAGAATACCAAATCAGAAAAGGATCTCAAAAATTTCTATATAGAATTACTAAGGGCTGTTAAGAATTCTGAAGACTATAAATCCTTAAAATTGGCAATCTCTAAAGCACAAGCCGAACTTGCTAGGGAAAAAGCTAGAGATAAAAAGGTCTGAGATCACTGTCATATCACAGGTAAGTTCTGAGAGAAATCCAATAATACTTGCAATCTTAAACTTCAAATTGAGCTATGGAAGATGCCAATCCCAATTATATTTCATAACTTTCGGGAATATGACTCTTACTTGGTCTGTAAATCTGTTGAACGCTCAGGTAACTCTCTTCGAATTACTGTTATTTCTGAAACATTTGAGCGATACAAATCTATGAAGGTAGGTCAACTTAAGTATATCTATAGTATGCAATTTATGAATTCTAGCTTGGCCTCTCTTACAAAGAATTTGGGTGATAACCATCCAATTACGACTGAGTATTTCAAGAAACAAGGCTATTTTTCTGAACAGATTTCTTTAGATATCGTAAAGGAATCTTTTCTCATGAGTACATAGACTTTCATAACCGATTTAAGGAAACAGAATTACCTTTGATTCATGAGTTTCATAGTGTTCTTGGAGATAAGATTTCACAAGAGGATTATAATCATGCCCAAAATGTATGGAATGAATTTGGGTATAAGAACTTAGGAGAATATAATGATTTCTATCTCAAAATAGATGTGCTTAGTCTAGCAGATGTCTGGACAACATTTAGAAAGACATCTATGCATCATTATGGCCTCAATCTTAGCCATTATATATCTATGCCTTCTTTATCCTAAAATGCTATACTCAAGATGACCAAAGTCAAGATCAAGCTATTTACAAAAATGGCAATACATGACTTCATTGAAAAGGTAAAGCATAGTGGTATTGCTATAGTAGTACATAGACATTTCAAGGCAAATAATCCTAATATGGGAGATGAATTCGATCCATCCCAACCTACAACATGGATCTCTTATGTTAATGTGAATAATCTTTATGGCTGGGCTATGAGCCAATTTCTCCCAATTGGAAATTATAAGTGGGTTGCTAGTCGAGAATATCTAAAGAATAATCTCAAGATGCAAAAGAAATATCTCGAAATGATTCTCAAGACTGGAGCAGATGCATCACGTGGATTCTTCTTAATGATTAATTCCCATTTCCCTCTAAAGACTCACAATTATTTGAGGGACTTACCACCAGCTGTGGAAAATATCACAGTAAAAAAGGATATGCTATACCCATACAATGTTAAGCTTGTGAATGATATAGATGGTAGACGATTCTATGTAACAGAAAAATTAGTCCCCCATCTTGGTTCACGAAAAAATTATGTCATTCATTATCAGGAGCTCTAGTATTATATAAAGTTGGGCATGGTTGTAGATGAGCCACAGAGATCTTATTATTTAACCAGATGAACTGATTGGCTCCATATATTTAAAAAATACTAGAATTATGCCAAAAAGCTAAGAATACATTCGAAAAAGACTTCTTCAAACTCATGAATAATTCGGTATATAGTAAGACTATAGAAAATGTTAGAAAGTATCAGAATGTTAAGATCATAGCCTATAATTTTGAGTCAGATGAGAAGAAGTTTCTCAAAAAAATCAAAAGCCCAGATTTCAAATATGGCAGACCACTTGGAGATACGTTAGTAGGTACACATATGGGAAAAGCTAGTGTAGTTCTCAATAAGCTAATCATTGTTGGAGCATCAGTTTAGGTCTTAGTAAGATTTTAATGTACCGCTTATGATATGATTATGTGAAAGTTAAATATGAAGACAAGGCAAAGCTTGGATATATAGATATGGAATCCTTTATATTTATGGTTGGGACTGAAGATATTTATAATGATATAGCAGAACGACCTCTTTGATCTTAATTATTCGAAGACTATTGGGCTTTTCAAAGATGAGACTTCAGGAAATATGATTACTGAGTCATTTCATATTCAGGCGAAATCAATCACTATGTCTTAGCTGATAAATCTACAAAGTCAAAGCATAAGGGAGTCAACAAGAAGGGTATGAATGAGATAACTATAGAATCATATATGCCAACTTTAGAAGGATCTTTGCTTGATGATCTAATAGATAAGTCATTATTAACAGATCAAGAAGTTAGGAATTTAGCAATACGAACTGATTAAAGATGGTACAGCAATTGATTTCAAATTTACAAAATGTTGTAACATAAGCTAAAATTAGTTGCAATATATGTTGTAACATTATAAGTTGCAACATATATAGGTTAAAACTAATTGCAACGTAAGTTGCAACATTAAAAGTTGCAACATATTAATTACAGTTCCCATCTTTAGAACTGATGCTAATCTAATGACCCTTGTTTATCGGGATTGTCTCTTTCAGAAAAATGTGTTCAATGCTAAGAATATAGGATTCTGATCAAAAGATCATGTTATATCTCTGATTGAGTCTGAGAAGAAGGCACTTTGTCCTATAAATACTAAACGCTGGATATTATCAGATGGGATAACCAGCTTGCCTTATAGGTATTGTTTTATCATGATATACAAGAATATGATCAAAGATGGTATCCCTCATGAAGTAGCTGGAAAAAGAACTATAAGGGCTAAGCTTCCAGAGAAATATCAAAATGAATGCATGTCTCACATATCATCCTTTGAAGAATATGGTCTGGACTAGTGGATGGATGAGACTGTATACAATATCATTTTATAACTGAATATTTTTTCTAGTAGTTTTAAAATGGCAACTGAAATAACTGGTCTAGAGAACATTATAGATAGTATAAGTAAAAATATAAAAAAGGTTTTTCAAAATGGTGTTAAACCCAAAGACAAGCAAGAGGCATATATAATTAGACTTAAATTGACATTGGATAAATTAGCATGAGAGTTAGAATTTGCGCAAAATAATTATCAAGGCATATCTTCTAATTAGATTAATTAAATTGGATAGATTGAGCAATAAGACGCTCAGATATATTATTATATATTTTTTTTCTTGTATAATAAATATTTGGTTACAGAATACTTCTCTATAATGGAATGCAAACAAAAGCAAATATCTAATAGCACATATAGCGAGTATGAGAAAGGCATAGTAAAAGAGCTAATGAAGTTATCAAAACTTGATCATCATACAAGAGCGTCTCCAGCAATTGATAAAAAATCCAGTATTTTTATTGGAGAAATTATAGCATTAATGATAAAAGTGGATAAACTTAATTCTCAGTTTAAAAGGCTTGAAAGAATTGTAGACTGAATAGGAAATTATGTAGAAGAGCAAACTGGCTTAGAGCCTGACAAAGAGCTAACAGATTTATCTGAGTCTGATTCAGATTAAGAATCAAAGGTGGCTAATAGTATCTATAAGCAATGTGTGTGTAATTTGGTTACATGATATTGCTCCCTTAGGGCTCAGTATCAGATGACATCCAACGGAAGTCTATGCAGTATCACATGAGCACACAGTTATATTTAGGTGATCTAATTGGCTAAATATAATATAGAGTATATATATTTTTTTACCCAAACTTTGAAGGTTAATATCTTGACATCTACTGATCGGATTTATGGAAAAAAAACTCTTTCTCACAAACATCAGTTCACTAAAAAAGATCGACAAAAAACAAAAAATGCCAGTTACTAGAGCGACTTCTTCTAAAGAACAAACAAAAAATAATTATTAACGAAACAAAAGGAATATTCCAGTTAACAACTCCGACGTTTTAAACTCTTCTATGAATACAACAGAAATAAACAAAAATAATATTTTACTAAAAAAACAAAAAATTTTACACCTTCGAACGAAGATACTATTGATCCAGAAATTGAAAAAATTATTCTCAACATTATGTCTAAAAGTAACAACAAAAAATTTTCTGAACAAAATACAGACAACAATGTCTCCTCAACTGAAGTACCCTCTGAAATGGATGTTGATACTACTTCTAATTTTACTCCTTCTCCACCTATTATTCCAAAGCAAATAATAAACGACTTTATACATACTAAAAACAATAAGGACAACATATTTGATGATACCGGTTTTGATTATATTCTTCCTACTAATACCAAAAGTAAATTAAAACAAACTTGGTCCAAAAAACTTGAGCAAAATGAAGAAATATGTGATCAAGAAACTCAGGGGTTTTCTTTCAATGTTATTACTGCTCTTACGCATTTTTATGCAACAGATAACGCGTCAGATATAAAAGGAAAATCCATAGCAGAAAAATGTACATTCATCAATTTCCTTTTCATACGCTTTAATGGTTATCAAGGCTCTACTTACGTTTCCAAATTTAGAAAATTCTCAGTTTATTTCAGATCAATGGAGGAATTAACATATGCTATTACTAAAGTTCAGGAGACACAACATAATCTGATCTTCACTATCATTGACCCTGCAGAAAAAAAGATTAAACAAGACGCTGAAAAAAGAAGGACCTTCAAAGTGTCAGACATTCCCTTATTCGTCAAATCTGACGTACTACGAAATTTCTTTTCAAAATATGAAAAGATCACCAGATTTTCAATGATCATCTGAGGCCTATAGCAAATCGCATTTGTTGTTTTCAAAAATGCTGATGTCATTAAACCATTTTATGATGAACACTGGTTCATCCAATTTTTAGACATTGCACTCAGAGTGGAACCAACAGATATTAATCCCTCACAAACTACACTATGTCAACAATTTGAGTTAAAACTCACAGGCCTACCTTTTAACACAGATCAATAATAACTTAGCGATTTTCTTGCACATATCAAAGCCAGATCATGTTTTATTTCACGTGATCAATAATATCAACTAAGACCTTACGCTTTTATTAATTTTGCCATCCTTGATGACCTAGACACTGCGGCTATGCAATCACAAAAATTTAAAGAAAAGACTTTTTATTAGATGGAATCTGCTACTAAACATTGTCGAAGCTATGACGTGCTTGGCCATGAATTTAAAGATTGTTCCAATTGTAAAACAGCAAACCCTTATAGACCACTTTACAATTGCTTTAAATCTGAACCATACCGCCTACCAAGAAATTACAATTCTAACAGATCCAATAATAATACTTCCTACGCTGATACGCTAAAAAATAATAATTCTAACCGAAATAACAACCAGTTATCATCTGCCAACCCAAATCTTGTCGATATATTAAAATTAGTTCAGAAAAGACTTAACAATATCGATAATAAACTACTTACAATTAGTGATGAAATCGTGTCCATCAAAAATGAGCTAATTAAAATCCATCAAAATGAAGATGATATTGGTTTTCGTCTAAATCATCTTGAAATAATGCACAATATTAAATACGATGTGAATTATGCTACTGACTCCAAATATATTTTCCCATTGCATGATGAATTTTTAATGTCTAAAGATATTACCTCACCTATTGAAAACATCCAACCAATTTCCGCCGACAACGAACAGAATATCCCAAAAATTTCAACTAATGATAATCTCTAATGAATTAACTTAGTCGAAACTTCAGTCAATGATATCATAACAGAAATGAGAAATTTGATCGTCACTATCGGCCCAATGATTCAATCATTTGCCATTTCCCAATGATATCACAACCTAATCTCACTAATAATAATGGAACATTTTCAACAATTCTAATGAATAATAATAATATTACTAATGCAAATTTGCTATCATTTACTAACAATCCTAACTTACTTTCAATTGCAACCCACAATGTAAGAAGCTGTGTTTCTTCAGATCATCTCCAACAAGTAGAACAATTTTTTATCAACTTTAATTTAGACATTCTTAGATTAAGCGAAACCCATCTTATCTACCTACAAGCTAGAAATCTAAATCAAAATTTTCACAATAAGCATTATAAATTTTTTTTCCACAGTTCCAACCATCACCAGAATTGTCAAGGAGTAGATTTAATTGTTAGAAATAGTCTGTGTTCACATTTTATTAATCAAGGCTTCTTCTTCAACCGAATACTACATTTAGACTTTCAATTTAAAAACAAATTCAAACTACGCATTTTTCAAATTTATCTGCCAGCTAGTTTCATGATAAAAATTCATTTCAACAGAGAATTCAAATTCAAACCAAATTAATTGATCTTTTAGTTCAAAGTCAAAGAAACAACTTTCATATTATTCTCATAGATGATTTTAATATAGATATTTTAAGGACCTATAAATTAAAATGTAAACGAACTCTATAAAGTTTCTTGCATAATATCATTAATCTTGGATTCCTTCACACTATTGCTTCTTTCAATCCATCCTTTCCTTCCACTTTCAAATCAACTTCTAATTCCTACTCCTCTTATATCGATTATATATTTGTCTCGTCTTTCCTAGTACATGATCTTGTATCTTTTGATATACTTAACGATTCTTCCTTTTTATACTCAACTGATCATTTTCCTCTTTTGATCTCACTTTACAGAAATAATTTTTTAATCAGTCATCTAATACTTACTCCAAACAACACAAAGTTACAAAGAAAAATTTCCTTTTTAATAAGACAACTCTTATCCAATAGGATCTCTTTGCTGATAAAATGGACCTTATACTTAAAACTGACCTAAAGTTTAAAAACAGCACAACACAGGATTTTTGTATTTCTCAGAATACCCTCAATGCTGCCTGGAATTTCTTCACTAATACCGTCTTGATATCTGCAAAAAAGCACTTACCTAAACAAATGATCACTTTCTGTCATAATTCCTTATTCACAACCTCAAACTCCTCAATTCACAAACAAATCAATAAGTTATACAAAATTTATTATAAGTTAAAAAAAGCTCTTCTGCAACCTTATTTTTCAACCTTACCCTTTCCAATCTCACCCAACGAACATTAAATTTTGCTAAATTAGCTTCTCAAAATTTCATTTCTACATCTTCGATTGATGACTATTTCTCAAATAATCACGCAATAAATTATTTATATGAACTAAAAACAGATATCATTAAACCTATGCAAGTCAAACAACGTATTGTCTCTCGTTCTGAAAACAATGAAAGAATTTTAGATTTTATTAAACAAAGGAATGAAAACTTCAAAGACTCTCTCACTAAGATGATAGATTCATGTCTCGAAAAAAATAGAAAAGCCATTATTCTTAACAAAGTAATGATCAATGTAGACACTCTATCACAACATCTCGCACTTGTTCCAGAGGATATCAAAGCTCATGCTGCAACACATTTTCAAACCATCGCTGGTTCTTCAAATAGAATTGTCAAAGATCAACAATCAAACAATTTTAACCCAAATTGGAATGAATGGCATTACTACTACGAACTTAATGATACTATTTGTGATGACTATTATAAAGGAATCATGGATATCCTTACATATGATGAATGGTTGTCAATTCTGAAGCATCTGCCTGATCACAAAACTCCTGGTCCTTCTCAAATATCTAATGAAATGTTGAAAAAACTAGGCCCAAAAATGAATAAATTTCTATACACTATTATCTGTGCCTGTTTTGTTAGTTTACAGACACCTACACATTGGAATTTAGCATATGTGTATCCAATTCTAAAACCTAAAGCTTGGAATTGCAATTTAGACAATACACGTCCTATCACGCTCCTGGACACTGTTAGAAAAGCATTTGTTAAGATCTTAAATCAAAGACTACAGGACATATTCATTAAACATAACATACTTAAAGGCCTTAATTTTGCAGGTTTACCACATCAATCAACAATAGAACCATTATATATTATCAACAACATTCTTGAATTTCATCGCTTAAATAATAAAATGAACAAGTCCAGTCATTCAAATTTATATATGCTTTTTCAAGATATATCAAAAGCCTATGATAGAGTTAACATTTTTATGTTACAAAAAGTAATGAAACGATTAAAAATCCCTTAACATTCA